TCTGTCTGTCTGTTTTTCTTTCTGTCTCTCTCTCTGTGTCCATCTGTCTGTCTGTCCATCTGTCTCTCTTTCTTCCTGCCTGCCTCTCTGCCTGTCTGTCTGTGTCTCTCTTTCTTTCTGTCTCTCTCTCTGTCTGTCTCTCTGTCAGCAGGACAACAGATCCCCAGTAAACTTGGACAGGCTGTGACAGAACTAATGACATGTTGTTGTGGACGACGTGTTGGACGACATCAGACTGAACATCAGTGAAGAACCAGAGGAGCTGTGTTCGTCATGAAGAAGACAAACGTACCGTTCTCTCCGAGCATCACCATGATCTCAGAGTCTGTGAACTCTCCTCCTTTAATGTCCAACATGAACTCGCCCATCTTCTTGGACATGTCTGGATACTGAAACCCAATCACACCAAGAAATCAAACAGGGCAGGATCCGAACGTCTCCACCACTGAATCATTTATAAACCAGAGAACAAACGTGAAACTGGTTCTCGTTCTCGTGAAGACAAATCTGACCTCTAACATCTACAATAGAACCAGAAGAGAAGAAGAGAAGAAACCCTGTGATGACGGACCTGGTAGTGCCGGAGTCTCTTCACCTCCTCCTCATTGGCTGTCTCAGCCACTTTGAAGACCAATGAGGTTTCACGAAACCTGAGGTTCTCCGTGGGAACGTAACCATCCAGGAAGATGTTGATACCTGCAGGATGGAGGGAGGAGAACGAATGAAATGAGCCCAAGCAGTGGAAGAGACCCTCCGTTCACTGTGTGTGTGAGTGTGTGTGTGAGTGTGTGTGTGAGAGTGTGTGTGAGAGTGTGTGTGAGAGTGTGTGTGTTACCCTCTCGCACGCTGAAGGGCATGGTGACGACACCGTAGGCGCTGGGGACTCCGTAGAGACAGCAGATAAAGTCAGACAGGTAGTCCAACACACTCAGGTCATGTTCCACCACGATGATATACCTGACACACGTTCACAACGTTCATAACAATAATTACAAACGCTGGCAGATCACATGACCATGAAGTAGAAACACGTCCGGTCCTTTAACCACGAGAGTTACCTGTCGGGGGTGATGAGCGAGCGGATGGTGATGGCGGCCTTCAGCCTCTGTTTCACATCCAGGTAACTGGACGGTTCATCAAACATGAAACTGCAGCAGAGACACGGGAGACACCGTCAGTGTGTGTGTGTGTGTGTGTGTGTGTGTGTGTGTGTGTGTGTGTGTGTG